TGCTGGAGGTCTGCTGGGGGGCGGGGCCGATGTAGCCGGTCTGTGCTGGGGGGTGGGGCTACAGAGGACAGGAAAAGAAGAAATATAGTATTAAAACAGTTATGAAGTACACTACTCTTAAGGCCCAATATGCTCGTGGTGAAATTCTTCACTTACACCTTGTCTACACCATCTACGCAAGTGGCATGGTACGAAGTGACACAATAAAAGACAATAGAACCCATTATAATCAGGAGATGCTGTCTACGCTGGATGCGGCATGACATGACAAATCCAGCTTTTGCAGCACAGTGCGACGCTAGTTAGTTAGTTACAAAATTACTAATTTGTTCTTTAATTTCACTTTAATTACACTGGGGGCTTTAAAGGGTTAAGGCCTGTTCCACATTTGGGGTCTTGGCCACTTGAGAGCGCATGTGCAACAGGAAATAAGTGAACAATACTGTCCCAGGTCTAATGAATGCCAAAGCTCAGTGCACTTGTTGCACATTAGATCCACATTACATCTAATAGCGCATTGGAGCGGTATTTGAAGCCAAGCTTACCCCATCATCCATCATGTACAGGATCCCATGTGACTCAATATCGTGAGACGTCAAGAACAACTTTCCAGTGTAAGCTAAATTAATTAGATTGTACATAGAAAAAATGTGTATACAAAGCTCTGTTAAATGAGAAGTTTTACAACACTATGATGTAGTGTGTGCCATCAGATAATTAAAAGTTCTACACACACTTGTGGTCTTCACACTCAATTGAACACTTGGGGAATACAGGAAATACACCAGGAAACACCAAGAAATACAGGGGCTGGACAAAATAATGTGAACACCCATTATTATAGGGGTTAATATCCTTTGTGTAGGCTACAGGAAAAAACAAAAAAAAACTTTGCGATTATAATCTTTTTATTGTCTATACTCTCTAGGTTGCATCTCAGTGTACTATGGGTCAAATGGGTGACTTGTCAGACCTCCAAAAAAGGACAAATCATTGAAAGCCTGTTTAGCAGGAACGTCTATAACCCAACTGTTTGATGTTTTAAGAACAACAGTCTTTACAATTATGAGCATGTACACAAAGCATGATTAGACTTCATCAGCAAAGAAGAATAGAATGATAGGGACCGTCGAACACTAAGAAGGATTGTGTCCGAAAAACACAGAACTACTGCAGCAAAGTGACAGCAAACCTCAATATTCACCTTAAGGACCCTGTTTCCACAAACACCGACCAGAGAGGCCCGTGTTCATATTTTATTCTAAACATAGAAAGCCACAGTAATGGGAATGCAATTCCTTTCCAGACAGCAGCATGCTGTTCATTTTCTAACCTATTCTCTGGAATCCAGCTGTCGTTGACGGGCGGAGGTGCAGGAGTGGACACAGTGCTGGTGCTGATGTCACCGATGATGCTGAGGGCCTCTTTTATGGCGTGGTACATACGCAGCATCTCGTCTCTGCGCTGGGCCTGGTCAGCAGACTCCTCCATCAGACTGTTCTGATCTCCTGAGGAGTACAGGTAGGCCAACAGCTCGGAGTGGATGAAGTCTTTCGCCTGGGGACAGCAAGACAACAGAAAAGGAAGGAAAGGTTAATGAAGAGGCGAGGATGTTTGCAATACGCTATGTACAATGAATGTTTCAAGATGAACTGCTTAAAACACAAGCGGTTGTGCACTTACGTTGTTGATCATGAGATGCATGATAGTCTTGGGCATGAGGTCTCTGATGGTCTTGTTGACGATACCAGTGTAGGAGTCCACCAGGTTACGAATGGTCTCCACCTGCCTCTCCAGCTGAGGGTCCATGGAGAAGCTGTCAACTGGAGTGGCCTCTTCTGACTCCACCTACACAACATACACATCCCAGTTTCTTTACAATCACTTCTTATTTAATCTAAGTTTAGGACTTTTCATGAATTTTAACGACAACATCTAAAGTGACCTGTATCTTTAATGCATGAGTGGATGAGTGAAAACTATTCTTAGGGGGGAAAAAAAGAATAGTTTTGTTTACAACAAAATGTAAAGCCTTTCTTTACCTCTAAAACAACTTCTGCTAACCAAACCAAGACTGCGTAGATGGGAAAAACATTTGAACTATTTACTAGATACTAGACAACGTGAGTGATGTTTGCCCATGTAAAAGCTTTGTAAAAGTTGTTGCTAAGATGATTTAAGAGATCATCTGCTATACAGCTGCTACTGCATTTTGAGTGTTTCTGGCTTGCTGCTTATGCAAATTGCTTAGTAATAACATAGTAATAACACATTAATAATATAAAAGCATACCGGTCTTTAACAAACTGCAGATTTTCAGGTACCATGTCAATAACAGAAATGCATGTGCTAATATGTGCCTATTTTTTTCAACTCCCTAACTCCAAGTACATATAATAATAATAATATTAATGTTTGCCTTAGATGCACCACTACTACTAGTACTACTACTATTAATTTCATAACATACATTACCGTTCAAAAGTTGGCACCAGTAATGTTGTTTTTGAAAGAAAGTCATACTTTTATTCAGCAAGTATGCATTCAATTGATCAAAAGTGACAGGAAAGACATTTACAATGCTAAAAGCAATATGTATTTCAAATAAATACTGCTCTTTTGAACTTTCTATTCATTAAAGTATCCTGAAACTTATGCATACACACACAACAACCCCCCAGTAACCCAGTACGATTTCCTGCAAATTCCAAAGTCGGATCCCGGCTGGAACATTTCAGTGCGCTTGCCACGTCACTTTGCCTCCCCTTTCGTCCCTTTTTTACTTTCGTCCTCTCATTTCTCCATTTATCGCTTTCTCTTTACTTCGAAAACCACTGCTAAAGGCCCATTTCTCAGTGTTATTCATAAAACAATGGTACAGAGCGAAAACCGCACATGGTTCAGAATGCGAAAATGGAGCCATGATGGCAAAACGCTCTGTATTCCTCTCAAAGAAACTACAGAGGCCTGGAATATGCATTTGCCACGCAGCAGCGGACATGTGAGTAAACTGAATATATACATTTGAAATGAATTCCTAATGTAAACATTATCAATAAGTAATGTTGGGATATTCAGTGATGTTGTTTCAACCGATTTCATTATGTTTAGATTCATAATATATTAATATAATTTTTTTGTGCATATGCGGACCAGCTTTAATTACTTGATTCTTCATGTGCCTTCATTACTCGGTCCAAAAAGCTTTTTATACGTAAAAATCTAAACAAAACCAGCACATTTCACTACAAAATCAAAAGAGGTTACATTTTTACATTAAGAAAATGAAACCTATTTAACTGTAGCATTATTTTCATGAGAATTAAGCTTTCCCCCCCTCAAATTATCATTAACGTAGTATGTCAGAATATTTTACGTTTCCACTTTTTTTGTATTTTTGTTTTTGTAATTGTATCATTCCCAATTTATTCACAATGATTTTCATTAGACTTGTTATTTTAATACAATGTTATTTTACTGTTATAAATTATGTAAATCATACTTTACAATTTAAATATCAATATTTTTGACAGTCTTACAGTATTGAGAATCAGATTTATGGGGATTCTGATAACTTAACTTGCTGCAGAAACAAAGTTACAATCCAAACATCTAAATGGTTATATAACAACCTTCATTTACTTTGAAAATTTTTCTTATTACTCTATTTTAAATAAGTAGTGAGATGAGATTTCTGAAGGATCATGTGGCACTGAAGACTGGAGTAATGATGCTGGATAGGAATAGATTATTAGAAAATAATTGTATTATTATTTCACAATTATATTTTTACTGTATTTTTGCAATAAACGCCTTGGTGAGCATAAGAGACTGTGTAAGTGTAAGTGACAAATACATCCTGATACCAAAAGTCCTACCCTTCATTATTTCCCATTGAATGTTCAGTTTTATTTGTATACATCACATCATGAAAGTTAAACGTGTAGACTTTAAACTCTCAAAAATGGAATATGGAGTGCTTTAGATTGTCCATGTGTTCAAACTGAACATTAGTACCTGATCTTTCTCAGGATAAACGCCTGCTCGGAGAAAAGACGCTTTCCAGCTGTCCATGTCCTCCTGAGAATCACAGGCCAGCTCGATCTGACGCAAGTCCTTATACACGTTCCTGCAAGGGGGATCGAATACATGAAGTGGCCGAACACCAAACTCAAATACACAAACATAGAGAGTTGCAGTCAGCCCTGACCTTTGCTCGGTGTTGAAGATTGCAAAAATATGCTTGGTATCCAATGGAAATGACTGCATTTCGTATGTGAAAATTTGCAGACTGCATTTCGTATGTGAAAATTTGCAGAAGTATGGAAAATGTGGGCCCATCAATATGCAAAAATATTAACATACAAATAAATATTCATAGCTAAACAGGAAAAGTGATGACTGTAACTGCGTGAAAAATAGCAGAAGTGCGATTTACCAACTTAAACGCATAAAACATGTTGTATAAGTATTAGCGAAAACACCCTGATTTTTGATTCAGTGTTTTCTGTTTTTTTTTTTTTTTTACCTGATATACACAATTATATGCCTATTTGCACTTTACTATTCGCATTTAGCATTAGGTTGCGATTCACCAGTTGGGAACCACTAGACTATAGTATCTAGCATTACTCTGCATGGAGTCGGAACATAAGGCAGCAATTAAAGCTTGGTTAAAAAATAAACTCTCTAGAAACTCTGAATATACACTAACAAAACCACTGGGGAGTATCTTGAAGTCTTGAAATAGAGCAACAATAAAAGAATAAAGGAACAATTTTGCTGTGCTTGTGGATTTTTTTTTCGTTCTAAAGCACAGGGAAACATGACATCAGATGCCATCCAGACCCACTGGATGCCAGAGAACAGGGGTCAGAGGTCGGCAGTGGTATGTTACGATCAAATTAGTGAGTAAAAGCAAGCCTGCATGCTGGTAAACGAAGGAGAATGCTGTTATTAGTGTTAAATTGGAGAAAGACGTACACTCAAGTGTGAAAACCTATTGAACGGGAAGGAATAGTGAAAGAAGACACAGGTAAGCGGGTCGTAACCAGAGGCTGTTTGCTAAGAGAAGGTACAGGAGCTGGAGAAGAAAGGGTTAGTCAAGGAAATGGGAGGGAAAGGGCTTTCAGATTTCAGTGGTAAAGAAATTTCAGTGTTATTTTTGAGGTTAACTCAAGGATTGTGGAACACTGTTTCGTAAAGTCAACAGAATCAAAATGAATCTTATTTCCATTATTAAAAGGTTCACCCAAAAATGAAAATTAGCCCATTATTTACTCACCCTCAAGCCATCCTAGGTGTATATGACTTTCTTCTTTCAGATGAATCCAATCGGAGTTATATAAAAAATTTACTTTGATCTTCCAAGCTGTTTAATGGTAGTCAGCGGGTGTTGCAGTTCATCAATCCAAAAGAAGTGAAATACAGCGCCCATCCATAATAAAAAGTGCCTCACACGGCTCCGGGAGGTGAACAAAGGCCTCCTGTAGCGACTCGATGCGTTTTTGTTACAAAAATAACCATGCGCAACGCCGACATCTTACATCATCCTCCCGGAGCTGCTTCCATGTACAACTGTTGGCGCAAGCTAGATTAAAGGGATTATTATGTTTTGAACATGGATATTTTTCTTACAAAAACGCATCGATTCACTACAGGAGGCCTTTGTTCACCCCCCGGAGCCGTGTGAGGCACTTTTTATTATGGATGGATGCGCTTTATTTCACTTCTTTTGGACTGATGCACTGCAACACCCGCTGACTGTCATTAAACAGCTTGGAAGATCAAAGTAAATTTTTAATATAACTCCGATTGGATTCATCTGAAAGAAAGAAGTCATATACACCTAGGATGGCTTGAGGGTGAGTAAATAATGGGCTAATTTTTGGGTGAACTATCCCTTTAATGCACATTCCAGCTCCGTTCTGGTACTACATCTTACATCGAAATACCCCACAGCGTCAATGACACTGAACGTTTTCCATTAAAGAAAGAAATATCACAACAAAATGTACTGCAAGCATTTCTACGGTGCCATCCCTTTTCTCCCTTTCCATTTTGCTTTGTTCTCTGTAAAAACGGAGTGAAACTGAGAGGAGGGGGTTAGAGTTAGACAGAGCCAACAGAAACAACGCAAACATAAAGTTATAACAGGCTATACAGATTGTTTGCCTTGGTGGGGAAATGCCATCAACCTTCTTAAATATAGAAACCTGATAACCATCTCTGAGAGGGGAAAAAAGACGGAAGAGACTGATGAGCAGAGAAAAACACCAGGACAGTACGGCTCAGGCATCTCGTGCTAGGATGTACTGTAGCGACCCGAACAAACGACCACAAAAACGCTCTTGAATATCTTTTCATTAGACAGAAACCCAGCAAATATCTGTGGTCAGAGCCTGGCTTGGGCTCTGTATTCTCTAACATGGATCCAATTACCCTTTTGCCGCCCACAACTGAAAGAAATGAGAGCATGACCCTATTTTCCATTGTGTTTGGATTTCACCGTTCTTCCATGTTGCACATTCTGACTGCTGTCTCTCTAAATTAAACAAATTAATCCTAATATTATGTACATTTAAAATGCATAATTATTAACAAGTTAATCAAAGAGTTGGCCAAATATGATCAGAAATTTAATTAAACAGAAATTTGTTGACAGAAGGGATGATTTTGAATTAAAGATGAGATGATTAGATGATTACCTGTGAGAGGCGACTGTTAATTAACCCAATAGAAATCTCCCAATTAACTTTGCCCCAGAAAGGATTTCTCTAAGGTTGAGCAGTTAATTTAGTAAATTAGAACCAATTGATTAGCAAAAGGAACCCGACACTGCCACATTCTGGCCATTACTGGCACACCAAAGGGGGGGGGGGGGAAATCAACAACTAAATACACCAACTCACTGTTATGGTAGGGCTGGACAATATTTTGTTTATCCACAATAAGTTCGGTGCGGATATAAAATTAAGCAACAGTTATTATTGTGATGACTTTAAGACCCTTTTACTGTATTTGGCCATTAAGTTTGTGATTAAGATTCAATTTAATTCAATTTATTTAATAGTTTCAAAATACGATTCATCACCTTAAAAATGCTCATGCCCTTTGTGGCACTTTACAATTATTAAAAGTTAATAAACAAATCTAAAGGTAAATGTTTATTTATGACTCTGAATTGTTACATAGCTACTCTTCATTTAGTGAAAAACAGAAAACATGTCTTGATTACATTAATTAGATATATATTGCTTTACTTTTGAACTACTTGACAAAAATGGCTGTTTGGATGCAATGACATTTAATATAGTTAAAAGGTTCAAACATATTGAGAATTTTTAAGCCATATAGCCCAGTCCTACCTCAGACATGTTGTTAGTATAAACAAAATCATATTTCAGTGGAAAATAATTGTGATTAGCTCTTCATGGCAAATGCATTCAAAAATCTATAAAAATACATTAATTAATTAAAAATGCACACCACATACATGTAAAAAAAAAAAATCCCAATCACACACCACATGTTATCTTGGGTTTGATTTTGGCTCTTTAGTATGAATTGTATGTTTTCTTGGCCCCGCCCACCCACCATATCCCCATGGTGACGTAGAGGCTGATTCTCCACAAGGCAAACTCTGCTCACCCAGCCTGGGCCACCAGGACTCACATCCAGCAACAGGATAACTGAGGCCTCCATTTCACTCCATTTTCTCATAAAAAAAGGGTTCTTTCATGCATAAAAATACACTGATATATTAAATTAAGGGTGCACTGTGACATTTTCTCAAAGGAATGGTTAGTAATGTTCTCTCGGTTTAATTACTAAAATTACCGAATGTTAGGTGATGCCACTAATTACAGTGGGCATTTTATGGTGGAATTGACGTCAGTTACTGATTAGTCGTAACTGTAATTGAAAAACTAGCCATAATTAAATTTTATTCCAGTTTGGTTTTTCCACCAGACTATACCTTCTCGGCTTCGCCTTCTCTCAGGCCACCTAGCTGCAGAGTGAAAGAAAAACCATCAGCTTTATAACTCTCGTCGGCAAGTTTACACACAGACATCCCACCCACACTGGTAATTACAGAGTTGTTTGACCTGTTACGGCCTCAGTTCTCCTGTCTGGATGAGCGCTGGTGACCTTTAACTGGGCATGGCTTGTAGGTTTGTGGTACTTACCAGTATTTCACCCTGCAGTGATAAGGAGGGACGGGGGTGGGGGCAAGTTTTGGGGAGAAGAAATGAGACAGAGACACAGGAAACAAGCAAAGCCAGGAAGGGAAGACAGTGCAGTTAAGAAAGACACATTTTTCAAATGGAAATGAAAAGGTTTGACGGGGACAAGGGTGTGATGGAGTGAGTCAAAGAACAGAGAAAAGTCATAATGAGAAAAAAGTTAGAAGCCACTGAAACCTTCAAACATGATAAGCCCATTTCAGGCTCTTTTATTTTTCTAACTTTGTTAGAAAAATACTCTTTACTGCCAAGCAATGTTCATTCCAAATGAAATGGTGCACATACTGTAAATACTAACACTGTGTCCTAACCAGGCGTGAAGTGACATAATTCCAGCTGTCAACACAAATTACAGCGTGATGCTTCACAATATCAGCCATTCAGAACATGTCTGATGTATAATGGAGTTGTTCATGACAACAGTTATGTATTGAAATAAACTAAGAACTGTTTCAATAGCAGCAAAAGTGTTTTGCAATACAATATGAACACAATACCTAACAATTGTATATAACAATGAATCTTTTTTGATACAAGTACATAGAAATTAAAGAGACCAAATTGGACCCATTGTAATTAAGTTAAATAAATCATAATGATTCAGTTTACAATAAATCAGTTTAATTACTTATTTGCTGTTAATATGACAATGTGTAGTGAAACATACACATTCAGAACATTATACATTTTGTTGTGACAAAGAATACATTTTTACAAATGTTACCAGCATAGCACTGTTTAGTATTTTAATTTATAAGAATGATAATTTTCCTATTATTTAATAATTTATGCAAGCATACATAGTATAATAGCATATGGTATAATGTCATTAGGATCAATAATTTGGTGCTTTCAATGTCACGTGAAGTACCACATACAAAGTTTAAACTTTCCACTGAGAAACCTCCTGATCAAGTCATGCTTGCGATGGAGTTTCTCATCCTCGGACTCGAATTGATAAGGTAATATCGATGTCATTTTTGTAAACTTATAGCATCTTTGTTTACAAGTAATCCTCCTGAGCAAAAAATAATTATGGTAATGGGCGTTTCGTTCCTGACACGCATTGTATACGGAAATACCAATCAGCCAGCTGACCAATCAGAGCAGAGTAGGCTTATGGAAGGGAAGCGTTTACAGACCTTAAGCTCAGAACTGCTTTGAACGAATCATTTCGAAATCATTGAAAAATTATTCTAATATTAAATGTAGAAAATTACAATGCTTTCTGACCGTAGATGCATTTAAACCTGTTGTAGGGGACTCCGACACAATATTAGGACACTTTAAAATACCATATGACCTGCTCTTTAAGTGGAATTGGAACTACAGCAAGTATTGGTAAGCTCCTAACGATTCCCATCCCTAGTTATTAAAACATATAAATCTTAAGTGATAACAATTTCATGTGAAATGCAGGAAATATTTGCATATTAAATAGATTAAATTCCCACCGATACTCTTCCAAAACTGAGAGTGAAAAAGACTCAAGAAAGGAAAGAATGTGAAATTTTCAAAAAGAATGTGTGGCATTGGAGAGGGAGGACAGAATTAAAAATCAAGAATCAAGCACTGCAGTTCCACCTATGACCACAAGACGGCAGGTAATAATAATAATAATTATAATAATTCATTACATTTATACAGCGCTTTTCTAGGCACTCAAAGCGCTTTACATTGTCAGGGGGTATCTCCTCATCCACCACCAGTGTGCAGCATCCACCTGGATGATGCGACGGCAGCCATAGTGCGCCAGAACGCCCACCACACACCAGCTTACTGGTGGAGAGGAGACAGAGTGATGAAGCCAATCAGTAGATATGGGGATGGTTAGGAGGCCATGATGGTCAGAGGCCAATGTGCAAATTTGGCCAGGATGCCGAGGTCACACCTCTACTCTTTTCGAAAGACATCCTGGGATTTTTAATGACCACAGAGAGTCAGGACCTCGGTTTAACGTCTCATCCGAAGGACGTGCTTGTTGACAGTATAGTGTCCCCGTCACTACACTGGGGCGTTAGGACCCACACAGGGTGAGCACCCCCTGCTGGCCTCACTGACACCTCTTCCAGCAGCAACCTAGTTTTCCCAGGAGGTCTCCCATCCAGGTACTGACCAGGCTCAGCCCTGCTTAGCTTCAGTGGGTAGCCAGTCTTGGGCTACAGGGTGATATGGCTGCCGGTGCTAAACGGCAGGAGACGGTTTCTTTGTTGCTATGACAACAGCAGCAGCCTTTTGTGTTTGGGGCAGGAGGCAAAGCGTCTGTCACTGTGTGTCTTTTACTTTTACAGTCAGTGGTTGAGGCTTAACTGATGCTCTACTAAAGCAACAAAAAATAAAAGAAGGTGATGTGCCACTGACAAATGCTGGAATTGGGGCTCTAAAGCCGATTCATCTTGGAAACATCCAATTTTTCCAAGCAATCTGAATGTTTTTTATTGGATTCACATGGGATATGGAAATGCAAGGCTCATTATGTAACAGAACACCAACTTTGGACAAGTCACATGGACACATTCCAGACAATCACTATGGGTGTGGTGGAGAGGGCGTGGCTGATTCATACAGGTGGAAAGCTGAATGGGAAGGTGGGCGGCAGCATGTGGAAATAGAGGGATGAGGAGTTTTTTGACTCCGCCTTTTCTCGATCCGCTCCTGGTTACCTTCTTGGCACTTTTCCTGACGAGGGTGGTGAGTTCGGACACCACCAGGTCCACACATTTCAGGCTGGGTTCTTTCAGTTTGCGGATCTGTTTTTTCACTATAGTCTCAAAGGCCAGATCAGGGGTGAACAGCCCCGTTCTGAGGGGGTCAGGGGGATGCCAGTGAAAGAAGGGGGGAGAAGAAGTGTTCAGGTGTTAAAAAAGGACAGAAAAAGAGAAAGAAGGGGAAGAATAAAAAGAGAGGAAACTTTTAGTTGATTAATTATTGCTCATCTATGAACAGATACAAACTAGGTCCAAAAGGGGGAGCCGCAGGTTTTCACATCCATGAATTATGTATTTTTTGCACCACAATAAACAAACCCTAGAAAAGCTTGTTCACTCAACATCCAATATAACTAGTCTAAAATATTTGCATTTTTCCACACCAAAAATATTCACTACTACAATGCTACTACACAGTATATATTTTTTTACATTTATTAAATATTAAAACAACTGGCCTCTAAAATAATAATAATAATAATAATAATAATGATGATGACGACAAAGATTCATTGTATTTTTTGGAAATATCGGAATCAAATGGTTTTCATGACACTTGGTTTTGTTAAAGTCGCAATGAAACAGAAGTAGCAACTGTAACATATGCACAAATTAATTGTTCACAATAATGGCTCGTTTCCACTGAGCGGTACAGTTCGATACAGTACAGTACGGTACGCAATTATGTCCGTTTCCACTGTCAGAAGTTGTGAATATTCCCAAAATAGCGAACAGTGCCACTTTTTTGGTACCCTTCAATTGGGGAACCTAGCACAGCAAAGGGTAACAAATGGGTGGAGCTAAACTCCCCACAGGATGTTGATTGGTTGACTAGAATCGTCACTTTTGCGTGATACAAGGGGATAAAGCGTCCTTCACTCGTTCTGCTTTGCTGTCCATGAGTGTCGGGCTTATTTACATCAGAGTGCGCAAACACAAAAAAAATATAACCGCGTATTTTATAATTTTATATTTTCACACAGACAATAGCCGTTTCTCAGTATGCGTTCTTGTGGACTTGTGAAACGTCATTGCTCAAAAACCCATGTAATTTTCTAAATATTACTGTTATTGTGTCATAAAATGTAGTTTTAAGGGTTTTTCAGGCAAGAATGTAATTATTTAAAACTCAAATCTGCGGTTTATTTATAAAGATAGCGCCAATTTGAAAATTTGCTATGCCGATTTCGGAGCTCCAGGCGATCAGCGGGCGCTCAGTGCTCATGTATCCGCATAGAGCCGCCTTAGCTCGGCTAGTCCTTTCGACATTTGCCGCTGACTCTGACGTCTCTGTAGTGATTAAACATGAGATACAATTCGTTTTGGGTAGGCTATATTTAACAGGCATTCGTGGTCTCATGAATCTATTATTTATTCCTGGTCATATCGTTTTGGCAGAGCACAAAGTTGTTTAACTTTATATATTTAATTTGAACTTTACCGTAGTACATCGCTGACTTTGTAGCATACGTTTGACTGAACTGTTTGCTTTTGTCTTTATTTCCTCTTATATAAGCCTCTTATACTTTGTACTTGTACGTTTATAATGGCTATTATTGTTCATTAAAACAGACATTTAACAAAAAGAGGCAGAGTTGTGCTTATTGTCGCGGTTCATTGTCGATCGCTACTTTCCGGCATACACCACACCTATCAAGAAGGGTACTATTGGCAGTGGAAACGCAAGCCTGATCAGGGTTACCCGTACCGAATCGTACTGTACTGAACTGTACCGTACCGCTCAGTGGAAACGAGCCATAAGATCTATATATTTATTTATAAAATAGATAGGGTGAATTTTCGTTTCATGCTGACTTTTAATAGTTCTTCAACATCTGTATTCTTCAGCCAATGTGGAGAGAATGCCGCACCACAGCAAAATCTATAGTCTAAGTTAAGCCTGCGACACAAAATAATTGAAACTGCAATAAAATATGTGGATGCAAAAACAGATAAGACTACAAAACCAGTCCAATTTCTGAACAGATGACTCTTATAAACCCTGACTCTTGCAATTAATCTGTGAAAACGACTCTCAAATCTTAAAGAGACCTTCAAACCAATGAGTTGCTCATTTAAACTGGCGAAAAAGACTCAATGTAGTCTCAGTGAAGTAATTATAAAATTGCATATACAGATGTACTTAAGTCCTAATTAAACTGGTAAAAAAAACAACACTAAATTTCAACTAAATGCATTTAATATAAATTTAAGATTTTTTATAGATTCTCATTCAATTGCAAATAACATGCAATTATGTATCTGAAAACATTACATTCAGTTTGCACTTAAATATATTATTTTAAAGTATATTATTCATTTAATAAGTACTATTTTTTTTCTAAGTATGCTACAGTCAAGTGTACTTCTTTTTATATGATTAATAATGTGATCACTATCGCCCCCCCCTTACATTTTCATGTTGACCCTTGGCTACAGAGACGCTCAGGATGTTGCAGCACCCCTGGCTCATCCCTTTTAGACTGCAGATGACCAGAGAGTGAAATTCTCCGCTCATCTCCTTAGCACAAAACCGTCACAACACCCCAACACACGACAGCAGAGCCAGCGCACACGGCAGTCGGGGGGGCCGAGGGGGGTCACACCGACACGCAAACACACGTTCAACCTCTGACTCTCACTCTGTGCTTTTCACTGAAAGCCCCATCTGTTTGTCTCAGGTGTAGTGTGACGCCCCCTCACAAGAAGCCCCCCAGTGGCCAGGCTGGGGTACTGCAGTACCTTGTTGGTGCACTGCCTGACTGTGTTGATGAGCTCCTGAATAACCAGATCGATACATTTCAGACAGGGCTCTTTCAGCTTAATGATCTGCTTTTTCACGATGGCTTCAAACGCCAGATCTGGAGTGAACAGCCCAGTTCTGAGAACGCACAGGACAGACAGACAGCAGGACGTAAGAGGACGGAGACAAACAGTGAGGAGAAAGAAAAACAACAAAAGTGCCAAAAAAATAACTCAAAGACAGATATTTGTGACAATGATATTAAAACAGAAGTGAAACCACATTAAATTAGGATACTTGAAGGTGAAGTGGAGGGAAAGAAGAGGATAAAGACAACGTTTTAGCTCACAAAGACTAAAAAAAATTAAATAAAGTGAGTTCTAAATAAGAAACGGACAGATTAGTGTGGCTCACTGTGGGGAAAAAGAAGTCAATTAGACATTTCAGAGACAACAAGGTTTCTCTTAAAATCACTTTAGGCCATGCCCTCATGACACAGTTTATTGAGGTCGCAGATATTTTTGAGGGTCTCACAAGAGGGACAAATCGCAGCCTAACTGATACTCACTTTGATTGTAGACTCATATTAAGCAACTCAATCTAGTCTGGCTCAAAACTAAGAGCAGACGAGGGTAGAATTTGACAAGACAGAATCCACATTAAGCCAAAGTCAAAGACTATATTCTCATGGTCTCAATCTTGGTCCTTGAGTCCAAGATCACATTTCCAAGGTCTTGGTCCTTGAGTAGGAGTTCAAGACCATATTTAGTTTTGGTCCTCGATTCCAAGATCACAATTTTATTATCTTGCTCTTGGTCCTCGAATCAGTACTTAAAGACCGTTTTTTCATGCTCTTGTTCCTAGAAACCAAGTTCAAGACCATATGTGACCCTGGACCACAAAACCAGTCATAAGGGTAAATTTTTTTTAATTGAGATGTATACATCATCTGAAAGCTGAATAAATAAGCTGTCCACTGATGTATGGTTTGTTAGGATAGGACAATATTTGGCCGAGATACAACTATTTGAAAATCTGGAATCTGAGGGTGCAAAAAAATCAGAATATTGATAAAATTGCCTTTAAAGTTGTCCAAATTAAGTTCTTAGCAATGCATATTGATAAATCAAAAAGTTTTAATATATTTACGGTAGGAAATTTACAAAATATCTTCATGGAACATGATCTTTACTTAATATCCTAATGATTTTTGGCATTAAAAAAAATCTATAATTTTGACCCATACAATGTATTTTTGGCTATTGCTACAAATATACCCCAGCGACTTAAGACTGGTTTTGTACTCCAGGGTCACATATGTTCATGGTGTTGGTCTTGTCATGGACTCGGGAGCATGTAGACTCAAGTGTCTTGTCTTGAACTCAACCATTTTCCAGTCTCAGTCTTGACTAGAACTCAACATTCTTTGGGTCTCGAACTCGATCTTGTGCTCGAATGAGCTGGACTACAACAGGGGAGCTGTAGTTCAACAACGTGATCTGAGCTGGGCTTGAGCCAACACAGACACTGTGATGTTTTCAATCATGTTATCGCCACATAATCTTGTACTATGAGCAACTACATTACAAACAACGCTGTGCTGCAAACAACGATAGAACAAAGGCTTGTGAGAACAATATTTTCTTAAAATACTTTTGCAAAATGAGCACAAAAACAATTTGTAGGTGCAAAAATGTACCTACAATTAATTTTGTATGTTTAAAATCTGCATTTTATTCTTGTATTCTATGCATCTAATAAGTTGCAAATTGGTCTTCCAGCTGTTCCTTATATGTACATTTAATTTTTCCGGCCTCTTATTGCTACCTGTCCCAACTTTTTTGGAATGTGTAGCTCTCATGAAATCCAAAATGAGCCAATATTTGGCATGACATTTCAAAATGTCTCACTTTCAACATTTGATATGTTATCTATATTCTATTGTGAATAAAATATAAGTTTATGAGATTTGTAAATTATTCCATTCCTTTTTTACTCACAATTTGTACAGTGTCCCAACTTTCTTGGAATTGGGTTTCTAGTTATACAGGCATCACACAAAATTGTGCGGCTCTGCTGAAATCATCTTTCAGAATTTGGAACCTGGAATGGTACTTGATTAAAAAAATAAAAAATAAATAAAAAACTGTATGATCAAATGTTCCTATTAAAATGTACTTGATTATATTTACTATATAATGATATATCTTATGTACTTTTTTTTTCATCTGACATATATTCCAACATGTCTTATATAATGCACTTACTATCAAGCAAGCAAAACATGGATTTGTATTTGTGCCAAATGAGATGAGCTCATATGAGCTCGGGTTTATTTATAAAGCACATTTCCCACCCGCCGGTAGTTTCAGTTTCACTTCAAATAAATTTATTTCAGCTTGTCTTCAATCATAAATGTTGTTTATAATGAATGCCACTACAATATATGACCATTTTATACTTTTTTATTTTCTATTCCTGTTCTGTTCTGAATACTGTTAAAGGATTTAAGTGAGGGAAACTAAAATACATTTATAGTGTTCATAATGTTTGTAAACGTTTAATTGTATTTACCACTATTCTACATGATTTCTGAATGTAATTTAAAAAAGTGACTTATGAATGACTTTTTTAATCTAAAAAATGCAATTTTGAACCGATGTGACTGACAATACGGTATTGTGAAAAGGCTGGTGAAATGCAAAAAAAACGCCACTATTACCGATATATACAAGACAGATGATAAGAAAAAACGTGAGCTGTAAAGCGATTCTAGCAGCTGTGTTGTGAAAGCATGGCCTTACTATAACACACGAGAGAGAGAAAGAAAGAAAGTGTGTGACTGGAGTGAAAGAGTGAGGTATTAGTCAGTGAACAGAGGACATAGGAAGTGTCATGGCTTTCGTGCCACCATATGGCCTGCAGGATTGCAGAGTGCTTGCCATCAATGGGACACCACTTGCCTGACGCCATGGACGTTCTTAATGGCATGACTGATTTCTCTCCGGAGCTCCTTCTCGTCAAACACAATCTGAAAGAGAAAGAGAGACTTCATAACAGGGACTTGCCACTGCACCTGTGTAGCATACCGGTTTCCCCGGGAGCTTGTTGGGACTTGTTATCTAAAGATCAAAGTAGTATTTCCAGACATTCAGCTCAAAAGCAGACAAAACTAAGCATTCTGTTGAAACGAGGCATTTACCTTCACCAGCTCAAATGGGAAGCGCTCATGGAAAATTCGGTTAATCCTGGCACCTCCGGACAGCTCTGCCGTATCCACCTGGTCTCCGGAGCCCTCGATGCACTTCTCAAAGTCCACTCCAAACTGCTGGACCATCCTGAAAGTGCCACTCAAGAGTTTAAACATCTGCCCTACAGTTTTAAAACCTAGAATCTGCTCGAGTTAGCGACTCACTGCAGTAGGGCCTTGGTTTTTCGCGTAGGGTCATCTGGGCGGAAGTTTTTATACTCTTCCACCTCTTTTTCCAGAGAGAGAAGCTGAGACTGGAGTTTGCTGCGCAAGCCGGGTAGCGTGTCCCGGATGTGGTTGGTCAATTGCTAAAAATAAAACAAGAGGAAGTGAGAATGCGATATATAGAAATAGAGGCACAAAACAGGAGGCGACATTGACTAAATTAAGTGATTTTTAGGCATTAGCTTCATTTACATAACTATACACAAATCTTTTCTGAAATGGCCAGTCATTTTTGCAAATCCATGGCTGCATTTTGTGTGTGAGCGATTTGGTCCTACCTGGTTGAGGGTCTTCTGCAGGTGTGGTGTTCCCATTCGTTCAGCCATGTGTCTGTAACTGGGATGGGACAGGAAGAACTTCCTTTCTGCTGCCAGTGCAGCACGAATGTCCTTCCTGCCATCTATGTCTTTCTGACTACGGTTTACTACGCCAATATAACCTGGGACAAGGAAAGTGGCATTAAACAGAGTGTGCCAGTGCAATGATAGAAATGTGTCAACTGGAACTTTGCTCTATTGTTTATACCACGGCTGATATATCCACTAACATGCTTGGCATTATTTACATGTGAGAATAACATAGACACAGTAAGAAATGTAAAAATACAGAACAGGACATTCGTCCAAAACAAAACAAGACAAGAAGAAAGAACTTTCAAATAATATAGAGCAAGTCAACACAAAAAATATGGGAAGCCCTTTCTCCTCCTAGAGAATATTATACTACATTACATTTTAGTTACATTTAGTCATTTAGCAGATGCTTTTATCCAAAGCGACTTACAAATGAGGACAAAGAAGTAATCAAAACCAAAAAAAAGGGCAATAATATGCAAGTGCTGTGACAATTCTCGGTTAGCCTAACGCAGTACACGTTTTTTGTAAAATAATAAATAAAAAGAAAAACAAGTAGATAGAATAGAAAAAGAAAAGGGAACGGTAGTGTTAGAGGGTCTTTTTTTAATAAAAATAAAACAAGTCAAAGGAATAGAAAATGCTAATGTTAGAGGGTCATTTTTTTATAACAAATAAAAAGAAAACAAAAAAATAGAGTAGAAAAAATATATTATCATATAAAATGATATTATATGATATGTTATTATATTATATTTATTATAATATATTATATAATATAATTTTTTTTGTTGACATCCAACGTTTTTTGTAAAATAATAAATAAAAAGAAAAACAAGTAGATAGAATAGAAAAAGAAAAGGGAACGGTAGTGTTAGAGGGTCTTTTTTTAATAAAAATAAAACAAGTCAAAGGAATAGAAAATGCTAATGTTAGAGGGTCATTTTTTTATAACAAATAAAAAGAAAACAAAAAAATAGAGTAGAAAAAATATATTATCATATAAAATGATATTATATGATATGTTATTATATTATATTATATTTATTATAATATATTATATAATATAATTTTTTTTGTTGACATCCAAATTACATGAGATGCACTGCTGTTCAAAATCTTGTTTTTTTTTTTTAAAGAAATTAATACTTTTATTCAGCAAAGATTCATTAAATTGATCAAAAATGACACTAAATACATTTATAATGTTTATAAAGATTTCTATTTCAAATGAATGCTGTTCTTTTAAACTTTCTATTCACCAAAGATTTCTGAATGCTCATGTGACACTGAAGACTGGAATAATGGCTGCAAAAAATTCAGCTTTGCATCACTGGAATAAATTACATTTTAAAATATAATAAATAGAAAACAGCTATTTTAAATTGTAATATGTCACCATTTTACTGTATTTTTGATCTTTGGTGAGCATAAGAGACTTTTTTCTCAAAAAAAAAAAAAGAAATTCTTACCGACCTCAAACGTTTGAATGGCAGTGTACAGTATATGGTTGCCGAGTCATAAAATGACTCATAAGAAATTGCCATAAATGATACTCCTGTAATGTGATGGTGTTAAGTACAAACTGCCCACCTCTACGCAGTGGTAAGAGTTTATTTTCCATGATATCCCGGGCGTCTGTACCCTCATCCATTAGATCCAGTTTAGTAATCACACCAATGGTACGCAGTCCTGTTGAACCACAAACAAAAACACATTAAGAGCAGGGTTTGAGTTCAGTCCACTGGGCTCCCACTCTTTTGACCAATGAATTAACCTTTCTAGTCATTTAATATTACTGGACCAGAATTCAAAGTCAGGTTGATTCACTAATGAATCATTCAGACCATTTGTCATTCACTAAAAACACACCTAAAAAAATGATTCACTCACAAATTTGACATGACTATGGTTTGCTATAGTTGATATTTTTAGGTTTTCCATGACTATGCGAACTCTATACACATCCTTTTGTTATTTTATCTGTGTGTAATAGGGATGTGCCGATACGAGTATCGGTACCGAACGGTTCACAGGGGAAATTCCAAATGGAAGTGATCATCTCTATCCCCTTGGAGTGGGGGATTTTGGAGTGAGCAGGGCACGTGTGTGCCATTATGTAGTCATTTGGAATGCACGTGGCAAAGGGAGCAATGTAATTTCCTCATTATCTTCAGCTGGCATGTTCCCGTGACAACGCACTAATGGCCATCGCTGATGGACACCGGCACAAAAAAATATATATATACATTTAATATTTTTAAAAGTTTTATATATATATATATTATTTTTTATATATTATATAGCATATTTTAAAAACTTTTTAAAATATAAAATGTATGTTTATTTGCAACAGTTATGCTAACAACAATAAAAAGAAATTTATGACAGTAAAACAGCAACATCTGCTGACGGACACTGTGCTGCGTTGTCACGGGAACACCCCAGCTGAAGATAATGAGGAAATTACATCGCTCTCTTTTGCCAAGTGCATTCCAAACGACTACGGATGCACCGATATGAAAATTTTGGCCGATACCGATAACCGATAATTCTTTATTTTTGAAAGCCGATAACCGATATGTTGGCCGATAAATCGAAATAATGCATTATTTATCGGCTTTAAGATTTCGGCCAAATTTTCTTATTGGGCCGATACCGATAACAGAAAAAAAATGAGCATTTATTGGCCGATACCGATATGGTGGCCGATATATCGTGCATCCCTACAAACGACTACATAATGGCACGCACGTACACTGCTCACACCAAAGTCCCCACTCTAAGGGGGTAGAGATGATCACTTCCATTTGGAATTTGCCCCGTGAATCGTTCAGTACCGATACTCATACCGGCACACCCCTAGTGTGTAACCCTCCCAGCAATCCTCACCTTGAGGGTCCACCTCCTTAGACAGCTTGAGAGCGTCTGAGTTGGCCAGGTCAGTGTTGGCCGGGGTGACGGCGAGGATCAGGCAGCTTTCCCTTGTGACGAACTGCATAAGCATGTCTCGAATCTGGTGCTCGATGTCTGGCGGCTGGTCGCCCACGGCAATCTTAGTCATTCCGGGCAAATCGATGAGAGTCAGATTCAATACTGTTGAACAGAGAAAGAGATGAGTGACATTTTAACAATGGCTGCCGAGTGTGGACTGAGGAAAGCTGCGGTCTTGGGGAGTCTTGTGCTGTATTACCGTGTGGCGAGTAAACCCTCAGGTTGATGGGAATTGGAGAGATGCCCTTATTGGACCCGGTAATCCTGTCGGTCTCTGCTTCAATTTCCTGCCGGACTTCATCAAAGTCAACAAACTTCCTCCCTTTGCAGTGCAAGAATTCCGCATATTCTGTAGAGAGAGAGATGGACATTAAAATTATATATATATAGTATGTGACAATGTACAGTACAAATCAGCCTAGCAACAAGGTGAACACTGTATATATATTACAGTGATAATAATAATAATATATAAAAAAATATTACATATTAAAAAGTTTTTCTTCCACTTTTAATACACTTATATTTTCATATCAGTGTAAAAAAAATTTAAAAATATAAATTGCTAAATTTTTTCATTAATAGAACCTGCATTAACAGAACCAAACATCATTTAGTTCTAGTATTACTTCAAAATAGAAACTGCTTTTCAATTCCCAATGATGAGAATGATTCACAGATATTGCAGTGTTTCCCCTAGGTTTACGACTTTGGGGGGGGGGGGGCTCCTTTTTAATGGTTAAATAAAATTGTATTAATCAAAACGCATGTCTAATTAATTAAAATCATGAAACTTAAACAGTTTAACATCAATTTATTAAGTTGAACAAAAATTACATGTTTAGGGCCCAAATATTTAAATTATTTCCAACCTTATGTTTTATTGTTACCAAATTCTGTGTTTTAGCATGTCTAATTATTTGAAAGCATAAAAACACATTTCATTTATTCTTACAATAGCCTTATGATTTTTTTCCCCTCAGAAATTCTGTGTTGTGTATTTACATTTAAGGCATAAAACATTCATTTAATTTATCTTTTAATTAATGAAAATTAAACAAATGTCATTTTTCGGAAAATAAAGGATTTAATATTACAATTAAAACATTGAAGAAATATTGTATGATTATTCCTTAAAAATAAGGTTTTAATAATTCTAGTAGTAGTAGTAGTAGTAGCCTATTACGTACATTCTACTGAACAATAGTAGGCTAATATATTTCTGCTACAATGTCTTCAAGTTAAACCAAACTTTTATTTTGACGGGTTGCCGTGAATACCTTTCCATTTCTGTGTGTATATGATACAAGGATAGTTTTAGTCAAATGAAACGGTCAAATGCTGATGAAGTGACTCTCAGGGCAGTTCTGGAGATGTTGTTCATGTATTTATGTCCTCATTCAGTGAGACACGTTTCATTACAAGTGGTAAACAAAACAACATGTCTGTGCCATTCATTGACACAGAGACACGAATAATTCATATTTAAATAGTCGTTTTGCGGCTTAATATTTACAAATACTAGTGGCAGTGGGAGTGTGCTCAATTGTGCGTGCGTGCGCGCATCGGGGCGCAACTCCGCTGTGCGCGATACAGAGAGCGCGACCATGTAACGTAAAGACTGAAATGACATGCTGTCGTGTAAATAAGATCAATAACATGATTATTTAGTTATTTAGTTTGTTTAATAAAGGAACAAGGTATAGACATGTTCTATAGGAAAGGTAACTTTAAATGATTTCTGTTGTGATCTGGTGCTATAGAGAAAAAAAAATGTAATTAAATTAACTTGACCTTCAAGATAGAATATCAGGGGAAACACTGTACTGTGCATATACAAGCAGACAGACAACATCAGTTCAGCTTTGTTTTGTTCAACTTTATGGTCAATTGCACTCATTTGCAAGATAATCTGTTCTGTGTAATGTCTTTTTGTCTGAATTAATTCTCCATCTGCACTTCCTTGTTCTCGCTACATTACAGTACCTCATGCTGAAAACAATAGAAATGATAACTGCTTTTAAAGTGGCTGAGAGATGTAAATGTTAGAAGGGGCATTTTCAGAAGGGAACTTGCTTTATGTACGAAAACTGAATAAAGTGACGTTAATACAGCTGAAGTGTCATTTTTGTGACACTAGAAACGGGAATTGCAATCAATAATTAACATTTTGTTCTCAAACTGGACTGATTTCTGTGATGCCGAAAATGTGGATGAACCGCAGGATCCAGTCATAAAACTACAATTCATTTACTTTATAACACAGAATTTGACAAAATTTGAATGAATAAATCAAAAAGACACTTATTTAAATATGAAGTCTGCATATTCTGCAAAAATTGACTTTTTCATCCATTTTCTTTTTTATTTGAACAACAAACCTCTATTGTGTAGCACTTGCTCCATCAAAAAATGAAAGGAATATAATAAGATTAAATTTTATAAGATTAATTAAATTGTTAAAGTTTTATGCATTCATTTAATCACCACCATTTTTGATTATAAAGTCATATCGAAGTCATAAAACACTGCCTGCAGAAAAAATAAAACAGACAACAAATCATTTCATATGGCTATTATTGTTAAAATTGCAATAAATTCGAAAATTTGTAAAGTTTAATGAATTCAACTGATTAGACATCACTGATTATTAAAATGTATTTAAAAAAACGAAACAAAAAATAAAGTAATAATAGGGCCCTTGATGTGTCATTTGATGACACATTTTTGACACTGTGTATGAATATGCATGAAAGCATGTGGTTTCAACCATCCGCACACATACTACAAATACCTGAGAAGGCTTTGTTCAGTTGTGCTGTGCTCATCAACACACTCACCAGCTATGTTGTTAACTAGCTGCAGAATGAGAGGCCTGCGTGTGACTATGCCTGAGCCTCGGGGAAGGAAATCCCTATAAAAAGAGAGAGAAAGAGAAAGTGAGTTTGGGTGGAGTCCTTCATAGCAATCAAGCTCAATTTTCAGGGGTGACAAGACTGATCAAATTATTCATGAGTAAGGAGGAGGCGAATGTTTAGGAGCAACCTCTTTGCATTCATATCAGAATACACACACAAACCAAGACGCTATCTGGTCCTTTGTAGCAATGAATATTAAAGCACAGTGGCATCTTTTGAAGGCCCGTGATTCCTAAGAGGCTGCAGCGCTTTTGCAAATGAATGGCCACTGCCGTATCTCGCAGCCAAATCAGGGTGCATTTAATAACACTGTGGCACATTATAAACACCCTCTGTGAGCTGAGAGCAGGGCAATTTCAGTCCTTGCCCTCCAATATATCCGCAGACCTAATAAGCAGCACAGAGGCCAGAACAGGCACGTTTTTAATAATATACGAGAAAATGAGGCAAACTTTCAATCAGAAACATACACAATACAAGGCAGAAACATTGTAAATACATGGCCCGCTGAACACGAGTATAATGTTCTTGACTCCAGTACTCAAGGGGGCGAAAGAGATACCCTCAAATGCCTGTGCTTTAAATCTTATGCGCGTTATTATTTAGTAAGCTATTATTTTAAATGTGGTTTTGATTATCTAAAAAGAACCAGTTAATAAGAATCATTCGTTCGGGAATCGGACTACACTTGTTCTAATTCTATGGAAATAGTGAAGTCCACTACACCACAACTGTAACAATAATGATAAGAGAGGAATGATATCGCTGGAATCAGGATGATTTGTTTCCAGCTAATGAACGAAAGTGACAGCCACTCAGAATCCTCCGGACTTTAAAAAGCTTAAGCATTTAAGCATGACATTTGACAAAACTGCAGCACGCACTTGCGGTGCAGAACAAAATCCAAATATTATCAATGATTAAAATGTAATAAATTGAATACAAAAGTAAGTACTTTTAATCTATTATTAAAAACGTTATTCCACGTCCCGCCCAATGTCATCCTCCAAACAATGTGCCATTTGTAGTCAATGAAAACAAATACAGAAATTCTAAGAATTTACGAATTTACGTAAGAACGGCCATGGCCATTATAAATTGAATGTGTCTGGCTTCCGGTGTCATTCACTTCCAGTTATTTTTAGCTGTACAAAAATAACTGTCGTTATTCTGCTTGAAAGTGCAAACTGTTATTATTTTACCATATTATTTGCATGTGTTGTCTTAATTATAAACACACTGGTTTGTAGCACGAAAGTGACAGCCACTCAGAATCCTCCGGACTTTAAAAAGCTTAAGCATTTAAGCATGACATTTGACAAAACTGCAGCACGCACTTGCGGTGCAGAACAAAATCCAAATATTATCAATGATTAAAATGTAATAAATTGAATACAAAAGTAAGTACTTTTAATCTATTATTAAAAACGTTATTCCACGTCCCGCCCAATGTCATCCTCCAAACAATGTGCCATTTGTAGTCAATGAAAACAAATACAGAAATTCTAAGAATTTACGAATTTACGTAAGAACGGCCATGGCCATTATAAATTGAATGTGTCTGGCTTCCGGTGTCATTCACTTCCAGTTATTTTTAGCTGTACAAAAATAACTGTCGTTATTCTGCTTGAAAGTGCAAACTGCTATTATTTTACCATATTATTTGCATGTGTTGTCTTAATTATAAACACACTGGTTTGTAGTGCAAACAGTTTTACTGTTTACTCCACTTTGATATTATTCTTGTTATTTCCCTATAGCGGCTAATGAACCGAAAGCTTTACACATTCACAGAAAACAGCTTACTTCTGCGTTGAAAGATAGCTCACTCTGTGTCCTCCACTACATGTTATGTATTTTGTTTATAGAGAGGTGTCAGGGGCCGTTCACACAGAACATGCTTGTCCATTCCACTGCACTACATTTCCATTTTGTTTCTATGTACACACATGCTAGACAGACCTGTTTGACCATTGCGCTGGCATCTAACGTCTTTTATGGTTTCGTACATGACTCAGCATTTTTTTTTTTTTTTAATGCGTCACTCAAATTAAAATAGGTTAAACTTGAAAAACATGTCTCTAGGCATCTCGTGTTTTTAAAGCAAAAACACATTGCATGTGTCGGCCCTTATTCATTAAAGTCACATGACATGTTTTCCATGCACACCGCGCAGACGCGAATAATCCAGATACTTTGAGAAATGAGAAAGTGTTTTTATTATCCACACAATGGAAGTCGGTAGTTAACAAACCTGTTTGGTTACCAAGATTCTTCAAAATATCTTCTTGGAAAGAAAAAAGTGCAGCAAATTTGGAAAAATTAGTAAATGATGACAAAACTTCTATTTTTGGGAGAACTAACCTTTTAAAAACTCCTAAGATAATAGCAGTTATCTTGACGTGACATGTGGCCAAGTATGGTGACCCATACTCGGAATTAGTGCTCTGCATTTACCCATCCAAAGTGCACACACACACAGCAGTGAACACACACACACACCGTGAACACACACCCGGAGCAGTGGGCAGCCATTTATGCTGCGGCGCCCGGGGAGCAGTTGGGGGTTCTGTGCCTTGCTCAAGGGCACCTCAGTCGTGGTATTGAAGGTGGGAGAGAGCACTGTACATTCACTCCCCCCACCTACAATCCCTGCCGGTACGAGACTCGAACCCACAACCTTTGGGTTATGAGTCCGACTCTCTAACCATTAGGCCACGACTTCCTCTTATATGTTATCGTAACAAAAACTTCAATGCAAAAAAAGCATGGGATTTTAACTTCTAGAAACTTCTCACTAACCTGTCATCAAGCATGACAACATTCAACCAGAAATGTAAACTTGCCCATAGACAACATTGTTTAAACTATGAAGATTTGCATTCATTTACTTGTGTCCGGTATGTTTCTGATTTTAGGGACAGTCTAAAAACACATGATGAAATGCCAATGATGTGTCTTTTTCCACATGGGAAGCTTTGATTAAATCCCACATGCTGTGGGTGGGTTGAAAGCGTGGCTGCGGGGATCAAGAGGAGTCCAATCACAGTCTGTCTTAATGAGTAAGCCTGCCTCTCCAGGAGATCCTGCTTTACATCTGGTCCTGATCAAAGCCGGTGCAGTCAGCTGTGAATCCAGCCACCCTTTCCCCGAAGTCACCGGCCTACCTAATGCACAATGCAGCAGAGCCCCAGGGGAAAGACAGACCATGCTTTAAACACACACACACACATTTACAAAATAAAAGTAGTGTCATTCACAAAGAGATGCTAGCCTCGGCTCTGTGTGTTCATTTTGAATGGTTTGATTCACAGTAAATGAACCACAGACACTTCAACTCTGTATCACAAACTATAATGTGTGTAAATACTGTGCTTGAGAGAGGATCTGCAACTTGGAGGAATGGCAGAGGATCCCCAAATTCAGGTGTGAAAAACTTGTTGCATCTTTCCCCAAAAGACTCATGGCTGTATTAGATCAAAAGGGTGTTTCTACTAAATACTGAGCAAAGGGTCTGAATACTTAGGACCATGTGATATTTCAGATTTTCTTTTTTAATAAATCTGCATAAATGTCAACAATTCTGTGTTTTTCTGTCAATATGGGGTGCTGTGTGTACATTAATGAGGAAAAAAAATTAACTTAAATGATTTTAGCAAATGGCTGCAATATAACAAAGAGGGAAAAATTTAAGGGGGTCTGAATACTTTCCGTACCCACTGTATATATATATACACATATATACACATACACACTAGGGCTGCACGATTATGACAAAAATCATAATTGTTCAATATTCCTTTGAAATTGTAATTGCGATTATTAATTTGCGATTAAATGAATGATGTTTACACCTTTGTTTGAAGCAACTGCATGCCATATTTTTATATGAAAATAAACAAGCTGGAAACACTAACTGAAAAACTTTTATTGCTTTTCTATAGTAGTAAGCCTCAAATGTCAACTATACATCGGATTGGTTTCTCTTTAAATAAAAATGGTATTATAATGTTACACTAAAACTAAAATAATAACATGTAGAAAGGGGAAAAAAGCATCTTAAGCATGCAGAATAACATAAGTGGACTTTGAACGATTAATTGCTGCTTTGAACGATTATGTAATTGTGGCATCCGTAATTGAAATTGCGATTAGAAATTTGATTAATTGTGCAGCCCTAATATATACACATACATTGCAGCCTGCACCATCTGACAAGCATAGCTTTCAAGTGTGGCTTATGAAGACGGCACCGTCTGGCTGCATGAAGCATGTGGCTGTACAACAACGGCCAAAGCCTGGAGGGGGAGAAGTGCGAATGAAAACAGGCCACAGAGAGCCGTGTGCTGGCCTAACCTCGCACGCATGCATGGCCCCCTCTCCACTTACACCCACTCTGCCAGCAAAGCCCAACACCTACACCTACACCTACACCTACACCTACACCCAGAACCACACACACCCACACCCACACCCACACCCACACCCACACCCACACCCACACCCACACCCACACCCACACCCACACCCACACCCACACCCACACCCACACCCACACCCACACCCACACCCACACCCACACCCACACCCACACCCACACCCACACCCACACCCACACCCACACCCACACCCACACCCACACCCACACCCACACCCACACACACGCCCACACACACACCCACACACACACACACAGACACAGACACAGTCACACACACACACACACACCCACACCCACACCCACACCCACACCCACACACACACACACCCACATTTTTAATGTTTGCGAAAGAAGTCTCTTATGCTCACCAAGGCTGCATTTATTTAATCAAAAACACAGAAACAGTAATATTGTGAAATATTATTACAATTTAAAATGATAAAATTATAATTATATAATATAATAACGATTATAAAATTAGCATTTTTTTCCCCTGAGATGAAAAGCTGAATTTTCTGCATCATTACTCCAGTTTTCAGTGTCACACGGTCCTTC